GTGTGAAAACGACCAATATTTATGACTGCTATTTAAAAAAATGAATAGTGGAATGTGCATTTATAAGTTCGAATAATGTTATTTAACGACTCAGATGCACTTCAGTCGTAAAGCGTATTCTGTTCATTTATCCATTTAAAATACCCATAAGATAATTATCTTGTTAGTATCTCAATATCGCAGAGCTGAAATACTCGGAAATATTATCGGTGATATTTCTCATGAAGCATTTATAATTTATGAATGACCATATAGATATGGCATTATCGCGATATGGCAGATGTAACTTGTATACCCTGTTGTGCTTCCCAGGACGAAGTAACATTCGAAAGAGCAATATCCGGAGAGTTATTGCAAGTTTTGGATCGAAAGTCCATTGCACACGTTTGCCAGACAATTTTTAGTCTTGAACTAAGCAGTTCTCGACCTAGACCAATGATTGCAATAAGAAGAGTTATCCAGATGGGGATAGCCACATACAATAAGCGGAGTGGCTTGGGAAACAAAATTGGGCTTTGTAAATTAGATATATCTGAGACCGACTGCGTGGAATCGTGGACAGTCACGTTTAGAAGAGATGTAGGTGTCGACGAAGAAGGAATTGTTAATTCATTCAGACGAAGCGAATTATTGGCCCCAATATCGTCAGCGATGATTGTGAGAGGAATTCCAATATTACTAGAAGAATTGACGGAATAGAACTTGAACCAGGAATCAAGAATTTGTTTTTGAAAATCTATCCGTTCGTAGTTATTGCTTTTCCTGAGAGGGACCCATGAACCTTTCAGCCATACGCGAGTCAAAGACTGCTCAGCCCGCCAACAAATTGCAAATTGTGAACAAATTTTGGAAATTGTAAATAGAAAGACTAGGACTTGGCCGGTAAATTGATTAGTTTCTGTCGTGGAAAGCAGGCGTGAGAATCTAGGTTAGACATTAAAATGTGCCGAGGCAAAAATTTAAGGACAAACTTAGAATATAATGCAGATGGTGAAATATATTGTGAAATGAAAAACGTAGGCTAACTGTAAATAATGTTTAATAAAGGGTAGGCTCAACTCGAAAATTTACTATTCTAAATTATATAGCCAAGGAGATATGAGTGGTAAACAGGTAAACTTCTAAAGAACGTTATAGCTAAATATAACTGTATAATACCAGAGACAGTTATGATAAAACTAAAGTCAAATTCCAAAGGAATCAGATAATATAGATTAACGATGAACTATGGAAGGCGCTCTTCTTACCTATATAGAATATTATTGTAGGAGAAATAGTCAAAGAAGCGTTTCAAAATACTGAATCTCTTGATAAGACACTATAAGAATATACTTGTTGATAAGGTTGAATATTGAAGAGGTAAGCAAGGTAAAATCGAGTATCCACATAGGCATAAATATTATGAACCAATTCCATGAAATGACTTCATTCATTTGCAAGTCTACAATCAGAATGAATACCAACATGATAGCCCAGAGCAAGAACCCCCTACGTATGAAAGACATGGCAAAATATGAAGAAGTGAAAAGTGAAGCCAAAGAGGCCAGTAGGAGATTAGATTGTTAAAACAAGATTAATATGTGCTCATCGAATAACTTCAAGAATATAATGTAATCATGTGTAGCCTATATAACATAGTTATATTATATTCAAGATTGAATTATTCACTTACGTGCTTAAAAAGGTTGATTCTTTTCATGCTTAGAAATGTGCGACTCGGAGCTAATAGGCATGCATATTCGAAAAATTTTTATGTGGCCTGTTATTATTTTCGTTAATTTTATCATTAAATTATAGTGCTTTCAATTGTATTGTTTTTGTTATGAACGTTGTGGAATTAGAGGTTGTAGAGACTTGGAGTTCGTATGAAAGAGCATAATGAAAGGCCTAGGGAGCAGAACTCTCCTAAAGATATTGTAGTGAAGCCGTTTGGCCTTAATACGGAGTTTATGTAGACACAGTCCTCTAGGCATTCTGCTTCGTTTAAGATGAAAACGGGCCGAGATTTCGTTTGTCATACGACGTACATAATTAGAGTTGTAACTCGCTCTTATAAGCCTCCAGTTAACACTTAAGCAAGAAGATTGACTCATAATGAAAAAAATCTTTATAATAAATAGTTAGTGGATATAAAATGGATTGGTCAATTGTCTTATGTTATATTATATCCGTCTCCATGCGCCTGCTTCAACGTCTGTACGCAATATCTGCCATAAAGAATAGTGAGCAAAAACCTAGCATTAGCCCTGGGTCGTCGAAGCATTATTCTCCAAGAAAATGCATGGATGAGATTGTGTAAGCCGGGAAGTAAGTCTGATTGAGAAGAAGACATTCAAACGTGTGCAAAACTAACATTCATAGGCAATCAGCCTGTGATCATTAAGGTCAAATGACACAGAGCTAAGCATTTCTGAGAGTACATAGTCTCGATAATCTGCATCGCATGAAGAGCTTAGTATGCTTGTTGAACGAATGTGTATTTATTTCGAACCATCCCTAAGCTAACAAATTGAATCGCCTTATTTTGTTAACTGGCTTGAATTCCTCCCTCTCCTTTATTCCTTCAATCAAACGTAATTAGTTTATTCGAAGGCATGAAGACCAAGATTATGTGGTCTTTTGTGTGGTCACAGTCACCTTTTATTGTATAACAGTTGTTTGACCTTGTTTTCGCAACTTGGCCATATTGGTAGGAAGACTTAGAGGAACGCACCTTGTCCGGAGTCGATTGTATGCATAATCATTGCGAAAACAAGACCAAACAACTTCGATACAATGAAAGGAGATTGCGACCGCACAAAAGGCCACACTATTTTGGTCTTCATAGCTTCGAACCTCCAAGTTAGTTAATGTCTGACGGAAACCAAAACAGGAACTAGATATGTGCTTTTAACTTTGCGTTGCAAATTACACGATACTAACATATGGATCATATAGAGAGTGGTAACTGCTTTAAGTAAGCTCAACCCTCATCTATGTATTCTAAGACTGTGATATAACTTAAAATATAGGTTTCTCTAAACTTAAGGTATTAATGTCCAATTTAAATTATTGCGTCGTTTGTTAAAAAATTGAATATAAATATTATTAGCAAAAACTTAGACGTCTTTAAATAAAATTTATTCTGAATATGATCGTATTAAAATCAACAGTGACTTCAGCTTGACCAAGCTTGTATTTTAATCAACACTTTTCCCACTGCCCTTGTCTTCAATTTGTACCATACGTCTCCTCCTTTGCAATGGCTTTTATTCGAGCCATTTTCCACCCTCGTAAATTTTCACATTGTCTGTCTAGAAACTTTTCTCCTATCCTGCGCCGCAAAACAACCGGTTCAAAGGATTATACCATAATTGATCACTCTTTCGATGCTGTCGTTGTTGGAGCAGGTGGAGCGGGATTGAGAGCTGCGTTCGGATTAGCTAATGAAGGCTTTAAGACGGCTTGTATTACGAAGTTATTCCCAACTCGTTCCCATACTGTTGCTGCTCAGGGCGGAATCAATGCCGCACTTGGCAACATGGAACCTGATGATTGGCGCTTCCATATGTATGATACTGTCAAGGGATCTGATTGGCTTGGTGACCAAGACGCCATTCACTATATGTGTGAGGAAGCGCCTAAGGCTGTAATTGAACTTGAAAACTATGGAATGCCTTTTAGCCGACTCCCCAACGGAAAGATATACCAGCGGGCTTTTGGCGGCCAAAGTATCGATTACGGCCGAGGTGGACAGGCTCATCGCTGTTGTGCTGTTGCAGACAGAACTGGGCATTCATTACTTCATACTTTGTATGGCCGATCTCTTCGCTATGATGCACATTATTTTATCGAGTATTTTGCCATGGATCTTCTGATGGATAAAGGAGCCTGCGTTGGTGTAATTGCCCTATGCTTGGAGGACGGGACTATTCATCGATTTAAAGCAAAAAATACTGTTCTTGCCACAGGGTATGTATTGGTTTTGTTAGCGTTAATTCGTATATAATCTTACGTCTAAACTTTGTCTTCTCCATAGTGGTTGTGGCCGTACATACTTTTCCTGCACTAGTGCGCATACATGCACTGGGGATGGTATGGCAATGGCGACTAGAGCTGAGCTCCCTAACGAAGATATGGAGTTCGTTCAATTTCACCCTACCGGTAAATATTCTCATTTCCGTTTAAAAATCTTTACTTTAACATTATTTAAAAATTATCTATTTAGGAATTTACGGAGCGGGATGCCTTATAACTGAAGGGTGTCGTGGTGAGGGTGGGTATTTAGTAAACAGCGAAGGCGAGCGCTTTATGGAGCGGTATGCACCAAATGCCAAAGACTTGGCTTCAAGGGATGTGGTTTCTCGGTCAATGACTATTGAGATGAGAGAGGGTCGTGGCGTTGGCCCAAGAAAAGATCACATTTATTTACAACTTTCGCATCTCCCAGTCGATCAATTGCGGTCTAAACTTCCTGGTATTTCCGAGACCGCCATGATTTTTGCTGGTGTAGATGTGACCCGAGATCCCATTCCAGTGCTTCCTACTGTTCATTACAATATGGGTGGTCTTCCCACAAACTATAAGGGTCAGGTTAGTAATTAAAAAATGTCTCCTTAGCTCTTAAAGTGGTTTTCAGAGCTAGCTTGTTTTTAAGAGTCATGCTTTATCAAACCTTTACCCTTTAGGTTATTAAATGGGATCCAGTGGCCAAAAAGGACGTCTTGATTCCTGGGCTTTACTCTGCTGGCGAGACTGCATGTGCTTCAGTTCATGGTGCAAATCGCTTAGGTGCTAATTCCCTTCTGGATTTGGTTGTATTTGGCAGAGCTTGTGCACTTGATATTGCAGAGAAGCATAAGCCCGGAGACAAAGTGCCTGACTTTACACCTGAAACTGGAGCTAAATCATTAGCGAATCTAGACAGCATACGTTGGGCCAAGGGCGAATATTCTGTTGCCGACGTGAGTCTGAATCATATTTATATAATCACCTTATTTACCTTTACTAACGCTAGCCTTTATTTAAGTAGCATATTTTTGTGCTTTTGTTTACTTTTGCCTCCTGATTATCCTAACTTGATTTTTATCAAGTATCTTTTAATAATCATTTTCTCTTGATATTTGATCTTCACAAGAGCCTAGTTATACCTGAAAGAATCTATAGTTTCGCATCTGAAGCATAGTGCTATTGCACTGGCTCGCCTTCAATAAACAATTAAGCAAGATAGTCAATTTTTATCATTTTCTAATGTAACTCAGACTTGTTCCCTCGCCTAACGAAAGTCAGCCTCAAGTTTTTAAAGATGTCCTTTCTTTTTCTTTAAATTTATTTTTCTGCTCTAGGTGCGCCTAGAGATGCAGCGCATAATGCAGGAACATGCTGCCGTCTTTCGTGACGGTCCCGTACTTGCGGCTGGTTGTGCCAAAATTGATCAACTTTATCGAGAAAAAATGCATCGTCTCAAGTTGGGTGACAGGAGCATGATATGGAACTCAGATCTTGTAGAAGCGCTGGAGCTACAGAATCTGATGCTTACGGCTGCCCAAGTAAGCAGAGCATGAAATCATTAAACTAGGCATGAATAATGGTGGACTGGTTTTTCTTTAAATTGTCTCGTTTTCACCACTGTTGCCATTGGTCAAGCGTCTGATTAACCTAATTTATATCCTCTACTAAGGAATTTGAGTCTTCCCTTCGATTACTCTGCGTGGATATCCAGAAACATCACTCTGTTTCTCAAACGATTATTACAATCAAGTTTATGATCTCTTCGATCCTTCCTTTTTGAATCCGATTCAAAGACTTGCAATTACTTCTGTCCGGCCGTCATTTAATTTCTGTTGGATGCTCTTCCGTTCTCTCGACATTGACAGTTGGTTTAAGATTAATCTAGTTCCACTCAGTAGTGCTATTTCTATAATTAACTGAAAGTAATATTTTGTTTTAATCTTTTCCCATGAAAAACTGGAGGAACTTAAAACTTTGAATGTCTTGTTTTTTGGACCTTTAAAGGCGTTGAGGCACTGGCTAATTTTCCCCTCAGCTCTTTAACAAGGGGCCATTCTGCACTTCTATTCCCTAAGGATGCGGATTTACATCTGGTGCATGTGGCATACATCGTGCTAGCTTTGTGTTTTTCTAAACAGCAGCACTTCATATATGCACTCAAGGTGTATGGCTCAATTGGAAATTTTACACTATGGAGGCCACATGGTTCGCCGTGCTGCCATGTGGCCGATTCAGTTAGTCTTTGCCCACAATACTATTCAACGCAAGCTCGACCGGCTGGCCCGATCTAATTTATGATGATGGGCTTGCAAACGGACCCCAGAGGAGATTCTTTCCGCACTG